GGGGGGTCCTTGCGGGCCGGGGGTGCCGGCCCCCGCGCTCCCCCGGCTGGGCCGCTGCTGCCGCGTGTGCTCTGCAGACAAAGGGGGCTTGTTCCAGCGCTCTGTGCATTCAGGGGAGGGTCCCCCGGGGCGCCCGCTCCGCCGCGGCTGGCCGAGGTGTGTGCGTGCCGGCCTGTGCGGGGAGGGGGCAGACCCCTCCTGTGGTTTGGGGGGCCCCAGGCCCCGCGCCGGAAAGGGGAAGGGGGTCCCGGCACTCAGTGAGACAGTTTGGCCTCTGAGCCCGGTCCGGGTGAGATCTCTTCCTGTGACAGAGTCCCACGGTGGGGCTGGTGTGGGCTCTGTGGGCTGCTGAGTGCCCCCCGGCACAGGGCCCCTGGGAGCGTCAGGGGCAAGAAGGGAGGTCAGCTCAGGCACTCCTGTGGCTGTGACTCCTAAGATGAGTCTCTCCTGGGGCAGGCAGGTATTCCTGTGAGCCAGTTGGTGCCCACCATTAGGGCCCAGAGTGAACACCAGGGGTGGTGTCAGGGAAGTGCCTGGGACTGGCCTGGCCAGGCAGGACAGCAGGCAGCAGGGTTTGGCTGCCAGCGCTGAGTTCACTGGTGGCGAAGGCAGAACAAGGGGCAGTTTGTGCCAGATTTAGCTCCTGGTGAGCGATGCCAGGGCTGAGCCGTGTCTGTCCTGGCACACATGGTGGCCCAGACGCGGGTGCAGCCCCAGTGGTGTCCTGCACCGGGAGGGGGGGGCGATGGGACCCGTCACCACTGACTCAGCCCTGTGGCTGCGGCAGGACAGGGTGGGCACGTGGCTGGGCAGAGGACTGGGGTGAAGGTGCAGCCTGCCCTGCCTGCCTTCTCTGCTGGAGCTGCCCGTGGTGGGCAGCAGCATGGCAGGGGTTAAACCTGGGTGCTCCAGTGAGTGCATGGTGGGACTGGGAGCCCTTGCAGGCAGCTGGGGCCCCATGCCAGGAAGGCAGCCCCACCGCCGACTCCTGGATGGGAGGGCAGCTGTGCCCAGCTTTGGCATGGCATTGCAATCCCCAGGTCCCTGAAAAAATGGGAGAGCTGTGGGGTGCTGGGCACAGCTGTGCCAGGCAGAGCCATGGGGCAGTGCCGGGGTGGGCAGGAGGCCTGGCTGCCCCTGTCTGGCTCCCCAGGTGCCATGTCTCCCACGGGCAGGGGGGTGCTCCCTGAGACCTGCCCTGACCACGGCTGGGAAGGGGCGCCCAAGGGCACGTGCACGGTGGCCAGCCTGCTGGGGAGCCACGGGTGCCCCCCGGCACTGGGGCCTGGCTGCCGCCCAGGCTGGGCTACGGAGACAGCGCTGCGGGCAGAGCTCGTTTCTCTGCCGGGCCGGGAGCGGCAGGGCAGGATGAGGAGCCCATGGGCAGGGTGGGCGCAGGAGTCCCAGCATGGAGCCAGGCCAGCTCTGCCCATCATCCTGCGGGCAGCTGTAGGATCCAGCCAGGTCAGGCTCCACATCCATGCCAGGCATGGGGGCACAGGGCACCCCAGGTCCTGCCCCATGCACCTGCCTGCCCGGTGCCACTGCCGCCATGCGGCCCAGCAGCTGGGCTCGCTTGCCAGCCCAGCAGTGTGAAGGGCTGGGCATGGCGATCCCTGGCCATTGGGAGCAGCAGGGTGAGCAGAAATGAGTGCCAGCACCAGGCGCTCTGCCTGCCCCGGCTGGGCACTGTCCATCCCAGGGCTGCCTGCGCTGCACCTACCTGCTGGGGCAGAGGGGATGGGCTGGGGCCCCTCTGTGCTGGCAGCACCGTGGCCCTGTGTCCTCCAAGCCATGGTGTTAGGGGGTACCAGGCTCAGGCTCAGTTCGGCCGTGGATGTCAGGATAGGGTAGGCATGTGCCAGGCATAGCTCGGCGCTTCCCCTGCGGTTGGTTCCCCTGGTCGCACACGGCATGATGGAATCCTTCAGGCATCGAAATAACCACGGGTGCCCGGACAGGGCCGACGTGGGGCTGGGAGCAGCGGCAGGGGGCTGGCATCCGTGCCGGACAAAGGGCCCTTGTGCTGCCCGCGCCCGCGGGGGAATCTGCTGGGACGGGACATTTTTCTTCTCCCCCCCTCCTCGATGCCCTTTCCTTGCTCAGAAATTCATGTGACTGGGGCAGGGGGAGAGCCCGGCACTGCAGATCCCTCCACAGTGCCTGGGGCACAGACACCCCCTTTCTGAAGCCTCTTTCTCCCCTGGCAGCAGCGGCACACCCTGTGGGGTGTTCTGGGGGGCTGTGCCCCCCCTGACGCCCCTCTCTGTCACCCAGGTGGAGGACGGGGGCAAGGCTGCGCTGTCCCGCCAGCTGCAGCCGGGCGACGAGCTGGTGAACATCAGCGGGACGCCGCTGTACGGGTCGCGCCAGGAGGCCCTGATCCTCATCAAGGGCTCCTACCGCACCCTGAAGATGATCGTCCGCAGGTTGGCAGCGCTGCGGGTGGGGGCACGGGGTGGCGGTAGTGCTGAGGACGGGGGGCATCGCCTGCCTGGGGGACTGGCGGGAGCCTGGCGGTGCCCCTGTCTCCAGCTTGGAGGTGCCCCATGCTGGGATGGGATGGGGGGCAGCCCCACCATGGCTGCCAGCACCCCATGGTGGGGGGGGGGTCCCCAGCCCCGGGGGGCGCCAGCAGGGCCAGGGGAGGAAGGAGAGGCAGGGCCGTGCAGTGCCTCCCCCCCAGCCCGCATCCACTCCCTGGCTGCATCCCGACTGGGCTCCAGCTCCAGCGGCACCCAGGGGCTGGGGCGGCGCAGGGCACTGCCCACGGGGCAGGGGGTGCCACGGGGCTGTGCCGGGGCTCAGCATTATCCATGGTGAGTTTGGGGGCTCTGGGGGGGGAGGGACGCCTGTGTTGACCCCGCAGCTCATCCCTGCCACCCTCCCTGCCCACCCAGCAGGTGCTGGGGCAGCACCGGGCACTTGGGGGGAACAGGAGGTGGCATCTGCCCACATGTCTGTGCGGTGGCACTGGACATCACTGCCTGCGTGCGTTGGGGGGGACTGGAGACCGCCACGGCTGCCTGACACAGGGGGTGGGACGGGGCCTGGCACAGGACCTGTCCCCGGGGACGTGATGTGGCTGGTGCTTGCTGCAGATGCTGAGGGACCGAGGAACAAGGGGAGGTCAGGCTTGCGGTAGAAACATAGATGTGGCCCCAGGGTCCCTTGGCATGCCCACGGAGCCGGTCCAGTTGCAGCAGGGACCCTCGCCCTGCCAGGGCATTGCCTGTGGACTGCGCTGGGGCCACGTCCTCAGTCCCCTGTTGATGCTGGCAGCAGGGACGCTGCAGGCAGGGGAGCCCCGGCAGTGGGGGGGAACTGTGGGATCCCCCTGCCCAGCGCCGGCTGCTGGCAGGGCTGGACCCTCCTTGCCGCTGTCCCCCTCGGGCGGGCGCTGGCCTGGGGGGGACAGGAAGCCCCGTAGGAAGTGACTTCAGCCCCGGTTCCTCAGCCCAGCTTCCTCCCCATTCTTGTCCTCTCCTGCTGTTGCTCTTGGCAGGAGGAGCGTGCCCGTCCTCCGGCCCCATTCCTGGCACGTGGCCAAGCTCGCCGAAAGCCGCCCCGACGCCCCCACCATGCACTGCCCCGCTGACGCCTTCAGCCTCTCCTGGCCCTCGGGGTGTGATGTCAGGTAAGACCCCCGACCCACCCCCGGGGGCACCCATGGGACTGCGCAAGGGGAGGGGTGGATGGGGCACCCGCTTGGGTCGGGGTGGGGGTGCAGAGTGGGTGCTCACTTGCTTGCCCCATGCCGCTGTCAGGCATCCCCCCGTGTCCTGCTGCCGCGCTGCCCTTTCCCCTGCCTGTTTACTCACTGGTTCCCGGCAGGAAGGGGCGGGGGCTCCCCC